CCCCCAAGAGAAGCTTTAAAAAGCATTCTAGGCCGGGCGCGGTGGCTCAAGCCTGTAATCCCAGCACTTTGGGAGGCCGAGGCGGGTGGATCATGAGGTCAAGAGATCGAGACCATCCTGGTCAACATGGTGAAACCCCGTCTCTACTAAAAATACAAAAAACTAGCTGGGCATGGTGGCACGTGCCTGTAATCCCAGCTACTCAGGAGGCTGAGGCAGGAGAATTGCCTGAACCCAGGAGGCGGAGGTTGCGGTGAGCCGAGATCGCGCCATTGCACTCCAGCCTGGGTAACAAGAGCAAAACTCCGTCTCAAAAAAAAAAAGGTCAGGTCCTCAGGACTATCCCATCCCCGAAACCTGGCCCCTCCTGGGCTTTGGCTGAATTGTGTTCATTGTGGCCCCTTGTGGCACGGACGCCATCTAGTGGCCCGTGCCCCCCCACCAGCTGGTCAGTCCCTGGGCACTTGGCACATGTGGGAGCTGGGGGGCTGAATGCAGTGGTTCTGTGCCCGCCCCACCCCCAGGAGCCTGAACGAACTGCGGGTGTTGCTGCTGGAAGCCAATCGCCACTCCCCGGGGCCCGAGAGGGACCTGAGCCGCGAGGTGCACAAGGCTGAATGGCGCATCAAGGAGCAGAAGCTCAAGGATGACATCCGGGGCCTGCGTGAAAAGCTGACCGGGCTGGTATGTGGGGTAGGGGTGGCCTAGGGGCAGGGTGGTCTTCGTGGGGCTGGGATAGCCTGGCTGTCAGGCCGTGGAGACTGGAGACCTCCTGGAGTGACCCCAGGGACAACTGAGTCATGGTGAGGATTTGAAATCTAGGACCACAGGCAGGTGGCGGGACCTGGGCCAGCCCCTCCTGCAGACATGGCGGCCTACATGGCAGTCCTTGCGACACTGTACAAAGGAAAACTTCCTGTGTGACCTGTCCAGAGGCAGGATGAGCCAATACAAGTGATGAGCTCCCCGTGCAGAGGAGTAATCAACCAAGGACAGTGGTTCCTTGCTCAGGCTCCTGCAGTGGGGCTTCACACATGTCTCAGGAAGCAGACCAGAACTTGAAAGCCTACGGCGGGCCTGGGATTCTGAGAGGCTGAGATTTCTTTTCTGTTATGAATAGGACCCTGAGTCCTCAGAGATGGGTTGGGGTAGGCAGGTATACTGGTAGCAGAGGACAGGACCATCCCCATCCCTTGGCCAGGCGCCGTGGCTCACACCTGTGATCCTAACACTTGGGCGGCGGATCACTTGAGATCAAGAGTTCGAGACCAGCCTGAGCAACATGGTGAAACTCCATCTCTACTAAAAACACCTAAATTCGCTGGACATGGTGGTGCACACCTATAATCCCAGCTACTTGGGAGGCGGAGGCAGAAGAATCGCTTGAACCCAAGAGGCGAAGGTTGCAGTGAGCCGAGATCACGCCACTGCACTGTGTGATGACAGAGTGAGACTCCCGTCTCAAACGAAGAAAAAGGGGAAAAAACCCATCTCCATCCCCATCCCATCCTGTGATCAGCATTCAGGACTCGGGACAAGCCCGTGCCTGGTCAGTGTCACGATATGGAGGGCATGGGGTCCAGGAGGGCAGGGCTGAGTCTGGGAAAGCTGCCCTGAAGCCCCCGCAACCCTCCTGTGGGCTCAGCGAGTGCAGGGGCGTGTGCCTGTAATCCCAGCTACTCAGGAGGCTGAGGCAGGAGAATTGCCTGAACCCAGGAGGCGGAGGTTGCGGTGAGCCGAGATCGCGCCATTGCACTCCAGCCTGGGTAACAAGAGCGAAACTCCGTCTCAAAAAAAGTAAATAAATAAATATAAAAAAATACAAGGGAAGAGGGAGGAGGGCCTGGGTTTCTGATTTGAACATGAATCACCTCACAGAGGCCTGAGGGACCTCCGGGTGATGCCCAGGCTTGGAAACCAGAGACAAAGTGAGGCTGGGAGACTTTCCTGCCTGGAGGCGAGATCCCACCAACACACACACGCACGCGCGTGCACACACACACATGCATGCGCATGCACACGCGCGCTCAGGTATGTGCAGGTGCATGCGCACACGCACACACACACACACACACACACACACACACTGATGAACTCTTCCCTTCTCCTGCCGCTTCCAGGACAAGGAGAAGTCCCTGTCGGATCAGAGGCGCTACTCCCTGATCGACCCGTCGTCCACGCCCGAGCTCCTGCGGCTGCAGCACCAGCTGATGAGCACGGAGGACGCCCTGCGGGACGCGCTGGACCAGGCTCAGCAGGTGGAGAAGCTGATGGAGGCCATGAGGTGCTGCCCCGACAAGGCCCAGGTGAGCCGTGGCCGGCAGGGCCCACCAGGAGACCAGCCACAGGGCAGCGTCCTCGGAGCCTCCGTCTGAAGGGGGAGGCAGCCTTATCTTTAAAACCCTACTCTGAGGAGGGAGGCTGCCCTGCCCTGGGAATGCCAATCTGAAAGGGGAGGCAGCCCTGTCCCAGGAAACCTGGTCTGAAGCAGGAGGCAGCTCTGTGTTGGGAACTCCTGTCTGAAGGCAGAGGCAGTCCTCTCCCAGGAACCCCGATCTGAGGGTGGAGGTGGCTCTGTCCCAGGAATCCAAGTCTGAAGGGAGAGGCAGTTCTGTGCCAGGAACCCTGGTCTGAAGGGGGAGGCAACTCTGTCTTAGGAACCCCAGTCTGAAGGAGGAGGCAGCTCTGTCCCAGGAGCCCCAGTCTGAAGGGGAAGGCAGCTCTGCCTTGGGAACCCCAGTCTGAAGGGGAAGGCAGCTCTGCCTTGGGAACCCCAGTCTGAAGGGGGAGGCAGCTCTGCCTTGGGAACCCCAGTCTGAAGGAGGAGGCAGCTCTGTCCTGGGAACCCCAGTCTGAAGGGGGAGGCAGCTCTGTCTCGGGAGCCCCAAGTCTGAAGGAGGAGGCAGCTCTGTCCCAGGAGCCCCAAGTCTGAAGGGGGAGGCAGCTCTGTCCCGGGAGACCCAGTCTGAAGGAGGAGGCAGCTCTGTCTCGGGAACCCCAGTCTGAAGTGGGAGGCAGCCCTGTCTCGGGAACCTCAGTCTGAAGGAGGAGGCAGCTCTGTCCTGGGAACCCCAGTCTGAAGGGGGAGGCAGCTCTGTCCTGGGAACCCCAGTCTGAAGGGGGAGGCAGCTCTGTCCTGGGAACCCCAGTCTGAAAGGGGAGACAGCCCTGCCCTCTGGGAGCCCTATTTGAAGGGATACATGGCTTTGCCCTGAGGAGCTTAGAATAAGAAGGCAGATGCAGCCTTGCCCCAAGAGGCTTGGGGATTTGGGGTGCTGGGAGCCCCGGGCTGAAGGGGTTGGAATTTGGAGCGGGAGAAGATCCCGTGGGAAGACCCCGCCATCTAGTGGGCAAACCGGGAACTGCTGCCTCGTGCGCCCGGCTCCAGGGTCTTTCCTGACTCTTCCAGACCATCGGAAATTCCGGTTCTGCAAACGGCATCCACCAGCCGGACAAAGCTCAGAAGCAAGAGGTGAGGCGCGCCCCGGCCCCCTCACATCCCTCCCGTGCCGCAGGCCTCTCTAGAGAAAATCCCTGAAACGTCACCAAAAAACCAGACAAAGATGCGTTCTGCAAGACGCTTTACAGTAGGGCCACTCAGGGAGGGCGTGGTTGCAGCAAACTTGATTCCAGATTCACCCTAGTCTTTTGATTTGTTTTCTTCCCTTCTTAATTTTTTTTCTTTGAGATGATGGAGTTTCGCTTTTGTTGCCCAGGCTGGAGTTCAATGGTGCGATCTTGGCTCACTGCAACCTCCACCTCCCGGGTCCAAGTGATTCTCCTGCCTCAGCCTCCCAAGTAGCTGGGATTACAGGTCGTGCGACCACGCCTGGCTACTTTTGTATTTTTAGTAGAGATGGGGTTTCACCATGTGGGCCAGGCTGGTCTCGAACTCCTGACCTCAGGTGGTCTGCCCACCTTTGCCTCCCAAAGTGCTGGGTTTACAGGCGTGAGCCATCGTGCTTGGCTTTTTCTTCTCTTCTTAAAAAAGTTATATGTTGTAACTTTTCTAAGAAGGGAATCTGTAACCCCAGCACTTTGGGAGGCTGAGGTGGGGGATCACTTGAGCCCAGGAGGTTGAGACCAGCCTGGGTAACATCGCGAGACCCTCTCTCTACCAAAAAAAAAAATATATATATATATATATATATATACACACACACACACACACACACACACACACACACACACACACACATATATTCAGAGATGCCGGGTATGGTGGCACATGCCTGTAATCCCAGCTACATGGGAAGCTGATGCAGGAGAATCGCTTGAACCGGGGAGGCAGAGGTTGCAGTGAGCCAAGATCGCCCCACTGCACTGCAGCCTGGGCAACAGAGCGAGACTTTATCTCCAAAAAAAAAAAAAAAGAGAGAGACAGAGATGTGAAGCTGAAGCTTGGCGTCCCCAGTTTGATGTCATCTGCTCCAGCGCTGCACAGGCACTCAGGGCTCCGTAAAATCTGCTGCTTCTGCTCAGCTTCCCATCAGCTCCTCCCACCTGCCACTTTCTTTCTCAGCCCCAGATGCACAGCAGGGAGGCTCTTCCTGCCTCGGGGTCGCGGCACGTGCTGTTCTCTCTATGCTGCTGTTCCCTCCTCCCCCACCCCGGCCCCACCTCCTTTCCTCCCTGACCTGTCCCTCCAGGCTCCCAGAGACCCTTGCTGACCATGTCCTCCCTCTCTCTCTCTAGGACAAGCACTGACCCCGAAGGGATCCTGTGGAGCGGCCCAGTCCACACCAGAGCCCCCTGAAGCTGCCCGGTGGCACCTCCTCCAGGCAGGAGCTGGGACTCTCACTTTGGAGACAAAACAGTGTTTGAAACAATAACGTACTCACCGCCGTGGACAATCCCCCACCCCGATCCCCTGCCAGAACAGGAAGCTTCCTCAAGCCCGGCCTTCCACAGAGAGTGAGAGCAGCGCAGCTCTGGCCTGACCCGGGGACCTTCAGCCCGGATGCCTGGCAGCTCCTGGAGTTTGTCGGTGAAGGCAGAGGGGTCCAGCCAGGCCCAGAAGGAGCTGCCCTGATGACCATCTGAGCGCCCCTGTGCTCTTTTTCCGCCTGTTCTCCCTCGGGTCTCCCTGGCACCAGGGAGGGGGAATCAGTTTGTCCCTACAGGCACCAAGGAGGAAAGTCCAGTCTTTAAGAGTCCAGTGGGAGCCCCTTTTCTGAAGCCACTTCCAGGCCAAGGCAGTCCCCAAGGCTTCTTGTCCCTACCTTCTGAATCTTCAAACAGTGGTACCGGTTCCGCTCAGCCTGCCTGCCTGCCCAGCGAGGCCTCCAGGTTCAAGGTGTTGGTGGGTGGGGGACAGGATCCTCCCCCGCCATCAACACCAACACACACACACACACACACACACACACACACACACACACACACCCCTCTAAGCTGCTGGCGGAGGATGTCACCAAGGCCAGAGCCACAGTATTACGAAGCTTTGAAAGTCCCTCTCCTCACTTCCCACCATGACCTTGGGCAAACCCTGGCTCGGAGCCCGGGGCAGGGGGAGCCCAGGCTGGAGGCTCTAGGCAGGTTTGACAGATGTCAGTAATACGGCGTCCCCTGGGGCTGACCAGATCTTCGAAATCATCTGTATCCACCTGCAAATGCATCTGAGCGGGCCCTTATGTACACACCGCATTCATACACACACACACACACACACACACACTCAGAGGGACCTCGGGTGCGTACCATCATGTGGGTGGCGCCGTGAACCACGCTCAGGCCACACAAGAGACACATACTGGCTTCTGGGACTGAGACCCAGGCCTGGCAGGACGGTACCCACACACACTACAGACATTCCTACCGCTGAGAGGTGCGCACATACCAGGTACACGCAGCCGGGCGTTTGGGGGTGTGTGTGCCACACGGAACAGCCCTTCCTGGTCTCACCAGTCACCTGCACAGCACGCCTCCAGCCCCATCTCCTCGCGGGGGCTGGGGGAAAGACAAATCTAACTGTCCCGTGCCCCCTGACCCCCAGCCCATCTTCCCCTCAAGCCTGCTAAGTTATCCCAGGCCTGTGCGTGCTGGAAGAAGCCAGCCTCGGCCCTGCAGCCGCCACCTCTCCGCTGGGGACGGACGGGTTGCTTACAGCTTTGCCCCCCACCACCCGGCATCAGCACAGGGGGTCCTCCTCACGCTCCGGCAGCTCAGGGAGTTTTCTTGTGAGGCCTCCTCCACCAGGGGACCAGAGGGAGAAGCCCAGTGCCCCATTCCGGCTTGCCCTTAACGCACAGGATGCGTGTGCAATTCATAGGAACGGCCCAGGTCGCCCTCGTGAGCTCCGCCCGGCACAGGTAGCTGGCGCTCACGCTCCTGCCCACGTGCAGCCCAAGTGGGAGTCAGAGTCAGTCCTCCGGGCCCCCCGCCAGTCCCCGTCGGCTTTCGGTAGCTCGCATGCAGTCCTATTAACAGCTGTCTAGAAGCCATGCTTTGGTGACCTAACCCAGGGTCAGATACAGCTCTTTCCAGCCAAGTCAGGCAGCTCTGCCCCACCCGAAGGGGCACCGATTAGTGTACTAACAGCCAGAGATCCACCCCGCAGGGCACCGGGAGGAGGTGGTGGGTTTCCCTGGGAGTCTCTTCCTCCATGGGCCGCTGCAGCCACCCGGTGTGGCTGCCCGGAGGCGGGGCTCAGCCACTGACCCATGTCCCTTCCCCAGGTCCGTCCCACGCCCCTCCCCTCCCCACAGTGGAATTGTTGAAGTGTGGCGAGTCTGTGCTCGGGACAATAAAGCTTGTGACAGGTCCAGGTCCCCTGCAGTTGGCTCATCTGCTCCTCTCCGTGGGGACCCTGGGTTCCTCAGTCTCTCCCAATTTGGTGCCCCCACTCCTGCCCTCTGCCAGCTCGTTCCTTCCCAGGTAGGCACGGCCTCAGAGGGGCAGGAGCTGAAGATATCTGGGGCTGTCCTTGTCCCAGGAGAGGCACCTTAGCAAGGGCAGGCCCAGGGAGGCCGCCGGAGAGGGCCGGTGCCTGTTTCGCGTTTGGACTTCTGGAGGAGTAAGTAGGGCCTGCAAGGAAATCGACGGAATCAGCGACGGGCCCGCTCACGCACGTGTGACGCTCACGCACGTGTGACGCTGCGTCTGATGAGGTTTCCAGCCTCAGTAGGCAAATTCTGGTTCCCGCAGCAGGATCTCTGCAGATCAGATCACCAGCACAACGAGTTGCAAACTTTGTAGTCAAACAGGCTTTGGAGTGGAGGTTGCCTCCCTGGGAGATGGAACAAAGGTGTGTTTTTTCTTTTTTTTTTTTTTTTTTTAACCCCAAGATGGAGTTTCGCTCTGTCGCCCAGGCTGGAGTGCAGTAGCACGACCTTGGCTCACTTTAACCTCCGCCTCCCGGAGCAATTCTGCCTCAGCCTCCCAAGTCGCTGAGACTACAGGCGGGAGCCACTAAAAATACAAAATAATTTTTGTATTTTTAGTAGAGACGAGGTTTCACCATGTTGGCCAGGCTGGTCTCAAACTCCTGACCTCAAGTGATCCCCCTGCCTTAGGCTCCCGAAGTGCTGGGATTACAGGCGTGAGCCACTGCATCCGTTCCTCAAAATATGTTTTTTAAATTTTTCGTAGAGACAAGGGTTTCACTCTCTTTCCCAGGCTGGAGTGCAGTGGCGCGATCTTGGCTCACTTCAACCTCTGACTCCTGGGTTCTCATGCTGGGACTACAGGCGCCAGCCACCACGCCCGGCTAATTTGTGTGTGTGTGTGTGTGTGTGTGTGTGTGTGTGTGTGTGTGTGTGTGTGTGTGTGTTTGTTTAGTGGAGACAGAGTTTTACCATGTTGGCCAGGATGGTCTCAAACTCCTGAACTCAAGTGATCTGCCCACCTCAGTCTCCCACAGTGGTGGTGGTACAGGCATGAGCTACAGCACCAGCCTTTTTTGTTTGTTTGTTTGTTTTTTGTTTTTTGTTTTGAGATAGGGCCTTGCTCTGTCACCAGGCTGGAAGGCAAAGTCTTGATTTTACAGGCTCACTGCAGCCTCCAACTCCTGGGCTCCGGTAGCCCTCTCACCTCAGCCTCCCAACGTGTTAGGTTTATAGGCGTGAGACATTGCGCCTGCCCAACTTTTTTAACTCTTTCATTCTGAGGTCATTTTAGGCTTACAGAATAATTGCAAAACACAGTGGCATTCCCGTACATTCTTTCCCAGTTCTCCATGACATTAACATCCCACGTAACTGCAGCGCAATGACCCAAACTAGCAAATGAACATTTGGGTCGGGGTGCGGCGGCTCAGGCCTGTAATCCCAGCACTTTGAGAGGCGGAGGTTAGCTGATGAGGAGGTGAGGAGTTCAAGAGCAGACTGACCAACGTGGTGAAACCCCATCTTTACTAAAAACACAGAAACTAGCCAGGTGTGGTGGCGGCTGCCTGCAGTCATTGCAGCTACTCAGGAGGCTGATGCAAGAGAATCGCTTGAACCTGGGAGGTGGAGATTGTAGTAATCAAGCTATTGCACTCCAGCCTTGGGAGATCAAGGAGGATGGATCATGAGGTCAGGAGTTCGAGACCAGCCTGGCCAACATGGTGAAACCCCGTCTCTACTAAAAACACAAAAATTAGCCGGGTTTGGTGGCGGGTGCCTGTAATCCCAGCTGTTCGGGAGGCTGAGGCAGGAGAATCGCTTGAACTCAGGAGGTGGAGGCCGCAGTGAGCCGAGATCGTGCCACTGCACTCCAGCCTGGGTGACAGAGCGAGGCTCCATCTCAAACAACACCACAAAGGAAGGAAATGGTAGAGGTGCGGTTGTATGACACTGTGATTGTCCTGGTGCCGCTCTGCAATGATTAAATTAACATTATGTGCACTTCACCTAACTTACTTTTTGAAAAAGAAATCTGTCCTTGCCTACTAACAAGGAAATTTAGAAGAAGAAAAGGCTGGGCATGGCGGCTCATGCTTGTAATCCCAGCAGTTTGGGAGACTGAGGCCGGAGGACTGCTTGAACCCAGGAATTCAAGACCAGTCTGGGCAACATAATGAGACCTCTCTTTACAAAATATTAAAAATTAACTGGGTCAGGCGTGGTGGCTCATGCCTGTAATCCCAGCACTTCGGGAGGCGGAGGCAGGTGGATCACTTGAGCTTAGTGGTTTGAGACCAGCCTGGGCAACATGGTGAAACTTCATCTCTATATGAAAATATTTTTAAAAATTAGCGGGGCATGGTGGCGGGTACCTGTAATCCCAGCTACTTGGGAGGCTGAGGCATGACAGTCACTTGAACCAGGAGGCAGAGGTTGCAGTGAGCTGAGATCACACCACTGCACTCAAGCCTGGGCAACAGAGCAAGATTCCACCTCAAAAAAAAAAAAAAAAAAAAAAAAAGGAGCCATGTGTGGTGGTGTATGCCTGTGGTCCCAGCTACTTTGGAGGCTGAGATGGGAGGATCACCTGAGCACGGGAGACTGAGGCTGCAGTGAGCTGTGATTGTACCACTGTACTCCAGCCTGGGCAAGAGGGAGACCTTGTCTAAGAGAAAGAGGAAAGGAGAGAAAAAGAACAAAAAGGAAAGGAGGCAGGGAGGAAGGGAGGGAAAATCTAGCCAGGTGTGGTGGCTCACATCTGTAATCCCAGCACTTTGGGAGGCGAAAATGAGAGGGTGGCTTGAGCCCAGGAGTTCAAGTCTGCAGTGAGCCATGATTTCATCACTGCACTCCAGCACGGGCAAGAGATCGAGACCCTGTCTCAAAAAAGAAAGAAAACAAAAATCACCTTGCATTAGAGAGTTGCCATGGTTTCACACGTGTACCAGTATGATTAGGAGGGGTGTGATTTGTTAATATGAACACTAGAGTGTATTAGGAACACAGGAATAGTGATATGTGGATATTTTTAATGGTTCAAACAATTTCAGGGAAAAACTTTGATTGGTGCAATTTATCATGTTAACCGAATAAAGTAGGAAAAACCCACCAAGAACCGTTGGAGCGGCTGCGTTAGACTGAAGGGTGGTGGGGGGCAGGCAGGGGGCGAATGACTCCGTTTGATGTCACTTGATTTAAAAGTTGTACAGAGGGCCGGGCGCGGTGGCTCAAGCCTGTAATCCCAGCACTTTGGGAGGCCGAGGCGGACGGATCACGAGGTCAAGAGATCGAGACCATCCTGGTCAACATGGTGAAACCCCGTCTCTACTAAAAATACAAAAAATTAGCTGGGCATGGTGGCGCGTGCCTGTAATCCCAGCTACTCAGGAGGCTGAGGCAGGAGAATTGCCTGAACCCAGGAGGCGGAGGTTGCAGTGAGCCGAGATCGCACCATTGCACTCCAGCCTGGGTAACAAGAGTGAAACTCCGTCTCAATAAATAAATAAATAAATAAATAAATAAATAAATAAATAAATAAATAAAAGTTGTACGGGGAGGCTGGGCACGGTGGCTCATGCTTGTAATTCTAGCACTTTGGGTGGCCAAGGTGGGTGAATCACTTGAGGTCAGGAGTTCGAGACCAGCCTGGCCAACATGGCAAAACCCCGTCTTTACTAAACATACAAAAAAATTAGCTGGGCGTGGTGGTAGGCAACTGTAATCCCAGCTGCTCTGGAGGCTGAGGCACGAGAATCGCTCGAACCCAGGGGTGGAGGTTGCATTGAGCCAAAGTCAGGCCACTGCACTTCAGCCTGAGTGACAGAGTGAGACTCTGTCTCAAAAAAAAAAAAAAAAAAAAAAAAAGTGAAACTGTTAAAAAAAAAAAATAGTAGGGGATTGAATGCGGATCTGGGGGCAGGCAGCAGCTAGCTGGGTCTGTGGTTCAGCAAGATCAGCCTGGATTGGGGCCGGGCTCCAATCTGTTTTGTTTTCTCACCCGCAGTTTCACTGTGCAGTAGGGTGTTAATGAAGGGATGAGAGAAGCCTTGCAGAGTGCTCCTATCTGCTCTTATCCCTCGCCTTCACCGTAATGCTGACATCTGAGGCAGAAGAAAATGGTAAGACTAGCCAGGCGGGACAGCTCATGCCCGTGATCCCAGCACTTTGGGAGGCTGAGGCAGGCAGATCATTTGAGGTCAGGAGTTTGAGATCAGCCCGGCCAACATAGTGAAACTCCCTCTCAAAACACAAACATTAGCTGGGCGCAGTGGTGCACCTCTGTAGTCCCAGCTACTCGAGAGGCTGAGGTACGAGAATTGCTTGAACCCGAGAGGCGAGGTTGCAGTGAGCTAAGATCTAGCCACTGTACCCTGGCCTGGGTGACAGAGTGAAACTGTGTCTCGAAAAAAAAGAAAAAGAAAATGAAAAGATGGCCCAGACCCTGCTTGAGATTCCACAGTGAAAAATACCCAGATAAAGCAGCCTCTTATGAAATATTGTCCCAGAGGTTGGGTGTGGTGACTCACGCCTGTAATCTCAGCACTTTGAGAGGTCAAAGTGGGAAGATCACTTGAGCCCAGGAGTTTGAGGCCAGCCTGTGAAACCTGATGAGATCCTATCTCTACAAAAAAACAATGAGCTGGGGACGGTGGTGTGCACCTGTAGTCCCTGCTACTAGAGAGGCTGAGGCAGGAGGATCACTTGAGCCCAGGAATTGGAGGCTACAGTGAGTTATGATCGTGTTACTGCACGCCAGCCTAGGTGGCGGAACAAAACTTTATCTCTATAAAAACATCTTTTTTGAAAAAAGAAAATACTTTCCCAGGAAAATCTAGAAGATGTGGCATCTCAGACATTTGAAAATTGTAAGCATTATGTATGGAAGAAACCCAGGTGTGGGGATCATCTTTATTTAGTGTGAGCTATGCAAAAAAGTGACAT